ACCAACTCAACAAAAAACTATCGTATCTCATTAGAACCTTAATGTTTCTAATTAACAGGGCTGGCTAGGACCAAATGCGTAGTGCAACTTACCAATACGACCTAATCAATAATGAGACAAAGCAACCCATAAATGACGAACCGATAAGTGATAACTGCTATCCGTGAACCAAGCACTCCAGGGGTATTTGGTCACCACTTTGACTCAAATGTTGCTTTACCTATGATGTCGCCATGCGCACTGAACGCACACGTCATTGGACTCCGTTAATTTTCCTCCCAATGTGTCATTACACAGTTCAGTCATGCACATACTGGTGGAAATCAAGAACAGTTGTTGAAAAAAATTGAAGGAAAATGGTGTCATATGACCGAAAAGTTTTCGTAAATCAAATGGAAATTAGAAACACGTGTAAAAATGCAGAAGCATTTTTGCCAGCCGAAAATTCTTAGCGAGTTACTGCCGCTCTCACCCTAATCCGGTGGGTCTAATCTCCGAATTTTCATGAATCTGATTTTGCACTTGTAAACCATGGTGTGGCGAAAAACTGCTTGACATGCGAAGCGGGCTTATAAGTACCGATATTTGAATTAGAATTTATTCCCTGAGTCGTAAAGAGCGGTGCATCAACCACCAGAAGCAAGCGTGCTTCTATAAAAATGTGAAAATCAAAAGTTCTTGTTCTTCTTCTGCAAGAGCACAGTTGAAAAAATCGTGTGATAATTACCCAATAATTACGCAACCAAACACTTGCTCCGGTGAAATAGCGGTGTGAGTTGTGGGAAAGATAACGAAGCACGAACTTATTTCTGTATGCATCTAGATGATACAAATATTCTGAAGGCTTGAATAGAACAGTCACTCCATTTGGTGCCTTCTATAAGTTTTACATGACCCATGGTCTGTGAAAAATGCCACAAAACTACTTCCAAAGCAATTAGTAGCAGTCACCCTTACGTGCTAATGATTTGACTATATTTTCTCTGATAATGAAGCACATAAAAGCAAGTTGTCCAGCTTAGAAAAGAAAATTAAAAAGCAGCATCTACCCTCTGCTTTTAGAAAGCCCATACTAAACTCGAACCACCCAGATTCAAGAAATGAACAGTTTGTTTTTACCAGTTTTCAGAACGTTCCGACCAGTGGTTAACGGAGTTACGATAGTGCCCATCACCAGTCCACTCTTAACCATCCTTCTCCGATTTTCGTCTGAATGAAGCACCAGGAGGCTATCGACGAGTTTTCAGCAACCTTGTGAATAGTCTCCTTCACATGATCCAAACATTTTCTGTTGATCACAATTTAAATGGGACCTTGTGAGCACCAGGTAGCACGCCATACGGTATGCTTTAGAGACCATCCACCTAGGCAGGTTAGCCTATGAAGGGACTAGTAATTAAATGGTTCCACTCAATAGTCAGCAACTGCCTAAATTAGCGATGTCAAAAAAGCGGGAACGTCTTTCCTGTTTAAAACATGAATGCATGTCTGCAGCGCACGGCGTTTTTCTTGAAAGATAACAGCAATGCGACCGATAATTACTGCGTTCTAATGCGGGGCGAATTCTTCAAATGTGCTATGAGCACTCTAGGCTGGAAGAAATCTAAAAACAACTATCCAGCGTTTCCTGAATTGTTCTCTTCATTACTTAGTCCCATCTGAATTATATTTTAATCGTTCTATGCAGATTTAATTCACCAAAAGGAATTAATTGACAGTGATTGCTGGGACTATGGTATCAGGTCGGTCCACTGGGTCCTCGCCTTTAATTTCACCTGATACTAAATATCAGTTTACACGTTGGATGATGATTTTGTGGAAACATATCACCTCGGTGACTTTTTGGACACCTACTCGGTGAACTCATGTCCGAGTAGGCACGAATTCTGCCTACTATGCTGAATGAAGCCTATACCAGAAGTTCCGCTGACATGTTCTCTATGCGTGAACAAAACCCAACAACGTGATATGACTTTATCTGCAGTCACCCTCTATCGGGATTTTTCTGAGAATGGTAGGAAGGAGTTTTCGAACAGTGCAGCTCAATTTTGAGTGAAACTCACTGACAGTCGGTTTTCGAATGGCGCATCCCAGCCAAGCTAAGTTAGGTAATGCCGCACTCTTAATCCGATATTCTTTGCTTGAATCGTCGCTGTGCTTGTCTTGTCGGTTGAAAAGAATACGCTAACGGGAAAATCGGCTGAAGAGAACCAAAAGTGGCGACACCTGTAGATAGCCGTCAATGTTCTAGATGATGTCATACCAAGAAAATTGTTTTTTATTCAGATTATGTTGGCACAAGACATCTTCCTATGTAAGCACAAAAACGTATTTTAGTAAAATCTTTCTTCATGGGATATCCTCCATTTGTGCAAGTTTTTCTTCCTGTGCGCTTATCGTTAAAATTCCAAAAAGTTTTGAAGACGATCATGGTAAACTGGATGGTGGAAATCAGAAACAGCCATGCGAGGCCGAAAACTCCCCTAAAGCGGACGTCAGTTCGCTGATCCATTTACCTAATACCGTACTGACCTACTGTAGCGACAGCCATGACGGACTTAATATGCTGGTGTGCCCATTATCCGCACAATGCTCTCAGCTGCAAAACAATTTCAAATGGAGTAAAGGTTTCTACGCCGAAATATTGCATTTTGTTGCGTATGTGCTCAAACCAAAAACCGTTCTGATCTAGGTTCCTATTTTTGCAGCTAACCAAATTTCGTTGTTCGCTGAAGCAACCGTTCCTCTGGCTGAAAAGTCATGTGGGATGATTTCCCAACATCGCTGAGACCCCAGGATACCTAAATAGGGCTCAAAAGTTTGGACTGGTACTCTCAACTCAATTACCCTATTACCTTAGTCCATCGGGGACACGTCATAACTTTCAAAAGTTCAACTCCGTTGTGCGAATACTGAGCACCATATGCTGTGGAAGGGTCTTACCTACACTTGAACGCATCCCCTAATTTGAACAACTCCCCTAACAACCTAGCGGTTTCTTCAGTTCACCGACCCAGGCTAATCAGTACCAGCCTTGAGAAGGTATGTGGTAAGCCTACAGCCCACTCTGAGACCAACCAGATGTTTTTTAAGATCTCAACATACACCTGTCCAATAGGTCGACGTGAATGTCTGGTCACAATAGGAGTAGATACCCTGTCTCCAGGACGAGGGCGGACAACCATCTGGTCATCCAGCCCAGTGTTCTCTGTGGCAGATGTTTCATCAAGCCTGTAATTTTCGTGAGGTCAGCGTATCCGGCGCGCTGGACTCCGAATATCTGCCCACTCTGGAGTACACGTTGTTGCATTCCATCGTGTGAAGCATCTGCCACACACACACAAATGTGCGAGTGACGTGCGCGAAAACATCTTTGTTGTGATTCCATAGTGGGGGGAATAGGGCTGTTAGCATGCCAACTAAAAGCGGGGCCTGTCAAGTCCAGGCTTTGTCATAGCAACTTAACACATCTGGACGGTTGTTACTAAGTCGACAGTCACGACGGGGGGCTGAGCTCTGCCACCAGGTTAACCGTCCGAATGTCGTGTTTCCACCACTTATCAGTGTTTCAGCAACCACAAACAACATGGCTGCATACCAAGGAGTCATTTTCATCAGTTGTCAGCCCCACTACGGTGATTAGGTGAGTTTACTCAATCAACAGAGGCTGGGTGCCTAGCTTTGCTAGATGTCCAACCTGAATTTTAACCGACACACAGTTAGGTTCTTAATTTTACGCGTTCAAAGAATTGCAGTTATACTCTTAGGCAAAATGTGAAAAGTCCCGTGTCATCTGTCTGTGTCTTGCGTGCAGATCCGAAATCTGCAATGTCGGAATATTGATTGTTGAGCGGCTGGCGTTTGGATACCGTATCTACCGTATCCACAAACAGTAAATATCAAAAGCATGTTTCCCTCTTTCCTTAATTTTCTACTCAGGTATAGGGAACTGCGCAAAGAGTATAACCTGGACTGACCAAGTGTATCCAGTAATCAAACCTATAAAAGTTTCCCTGCCTACTTCTGAAGGCTGGCAGTTTCGCGTACCCTTCTGTATTATCCGTGTTTTAGAAAAAGAAACATCATTATACTTACTTCACCTGAGTGCAAAACAACAGCGGAATTTTGTGGTAGTTTGTGGTAACAAAACCCGCAGGTTATTGCCGCCTACACCGAAACAAATCCTGGTAGTCACGCATACATGACACACAACCCAATCTAAGTTCACTAATGGGTTGGACTGTTGCCCGCTTAGCTCTGCTGATCATGTTTCTCATGTACTGACCGGTTGAATTCTAACGTCATCTCAGTGACTACTAGGAGGAATCTGGGATTCGTATTTGCTGATGTTCCCAAGCGCAAACGCTCCAATTAACCAACTCAAGGTTTCACACAGAGCTGTGTGACTCATGTGGTAAAATGTATGAAGAATGACGATACATTCTCGCCTACAGAAGCCGCGCTGTTTGCTCTAAAACAGAAATTCTACGGTATGTCAACAGCTCAATCATTCGGAAAATCAGTCGACATGAAGAATGTGATTCTGCCCCAGAATGGTGAGATATGACCCAGGGATCAGTAGTTTCAAGGTCAACTGTTGGAATTAGGTATCAGATGACGTGCATCGGAAACTCATACGGAATCAGTAAGCTGTCCATTGAACATGGCCGAACAGCAAAGCAGAAAATGTCCTATATTGGTTCAGGAGTTTTGATGTAGGTTGAGATTCCATCAAACGGTTAGTTACGAGCACGGTGTTCACTTTATCTTGGATGTCACCGTATTCGAAGGGCCGGTCACTCATCCGAGAGCTGCGCTAATGCGACAGGGAACTGACCTGGACAAGCCTCTAGCCTATGCTGCGCTGTTGTCCACTGTCCAATCAGAAAGCAAGGTTTGCCTGTCAGCTGATTGGTCTGTCCCCGTCGCAGCCATACCCTGCGTCAAGCGGCGTCGGGTGTGCTTGTCAAGCGTGCCACTAGCACTTCACGTCTGCCCGCGTCCGCAGCACGCTTCTGTTCACGTGTCCTCTATTGAGCTCTCGATTAGATCCGAATGTAATTTTCCTACACTGCGAGGATCATGCAGCCACATGACCGTGGTTGTTTGCTCGCTGTCTACCTTGGATTTTTCTGTGCCTTTGTGAGTTACTCAAATACTGAACAGGCGACTCCGGTTCTTCGTTTTGTCGTAAATGAGGAGTCTGCTTTGCGTACCACAATCGGCAATATATCAGCTTATCTCCTTCCTCATCCAACAATTACCACAGATTCCAAATTTTTCGACGTCACAACCACGGGCCTGGTCCAGCTAGCACGCCGTTTGGATTTAGAATCCTTGTGTACAGAAAACTTCCTCTGCTGCAAGTTGGAGCAACCATGTGAATTAAGCTTTAGCGTTGTGATTGAAAGTGGTACGAGTAGAGAAATGCAACCGTTGGAAATTCGTGTTAGAATTTTAGATATCAATGACAACGTTCCTTCATTCGGGCCCAATTCAGAGAATGGCCAAGTGCTGGAAGTCTCTGAGATGGCCAAGGTCGGATCGCTCTTTAGTCTTACTCCTGCGGTAGATCGAGATGTTTCAAAAGAAAACCAAGTTCAACGATACACTCTGCATGGTGTTGAACTACTTCGGATGTTCGAGCTGGACGATTCTGAGCCACCGAATGTTCGTCTGCGGCTGGTACGGTCTTTGGATTATGAAAAGACAACCAGCTATACTGGTAGTCTCGAGGCATGCGATCCACGCAGTTGTATGCGACAAAATCTTACTATCCGCATCACTGATGCGAATGACAACCCTCCTCGTTTTGTCAAGAACACTTATAGCGTGAACGTCCCTGAGAACTTTACAGTCGGCCAGGTGGTCCTTCAACTGGAGGCAGAAGATATAGATTCTCCACCATACGCTCAAATGGATTTTCGTTTTCACGGCACAGCTGATCAAGATTTATACAACACTTTTCGCCTAGAACGGAATACGGGTCGCGTGGTACTGCGGACCCGTCTAGCAGCACATAGACGCTCAGAATACAAATTCGATGTCTCGGTTGTCGAGGGCAGCTCAACCGCCATCATGGACCACGGCAGTTCCACGTCCGTCAGTAATCCAATCTTAGGATCAAGTAATCTAGCACATGTGACAATTACGGTTGAAGACTTGAACGATTTCAGCCCTAACATCAAAATGTTTTCTCCATCTGAAGGGCAGCAGTTATCCGTTCCCGAGAATTCCCCACCTACAAGAGTTTGTGTTGTACAGGTGACGGATAGCGATTCCGGTGACAATGGACGCGTAGCCTGTCGTTTGGTTCGGTCAGCAGCATCTGCCTCGGAGACCACTCTGGACTCATTTGTGTTATCCAATGCGGGGAAGCTCTACACACTTTCAACCACGCGATCATTCGATGCTGAGCGGGAACCTCAAGTTGCGGTTACAATTGTTTGCACGGACTTTGGCAGCCCACAGCGGTCTTCTGGTAGGGACTTAGTGATTAAAATAGAGGATATAAACGAATTTCCACCAGAGCTGGATAAAACCACCTATCATGCTGCGGTGTATGAAAATGCTGAAGCTGGGGTAGAAGTGGTCAGGGTAAGTTCAGCCACTAGTACATCTGTGCCAAATTAGGCAACTTGGGTATTAAATTGAATCTTACTTTATACGTGGCGTGGCTAAAGATATTCATCTCCACCACCATCATCGTCATCATTAACAGCATGGCATTCGTGTTCGACACCGATGCTTCACTGCTTCACCTCCACCTGTCTGCTTCTTTAGAGATTGCAGCCTAATCTTGACATTAACTTTCATCTACATTTAGTTTATCGATGTCGAAATCTGATATTCCACTGATATCGGGTCGAGGAACAGAGCTTATCGGCTGAGCGTAGGTTCATCGGTAATTATTATTCCTCCGACTCTGGGCGCAGTTGTGTACAAGTTATGTTATGTATAGTTATGTACAAAGGTACCACACAGCCTTTTTGTGGATTATTCAAGCGGTTGGATTGGGGCGATGCATTATTGTGTTCAGCTTAGATAAATGGATTTCACCATGGGTAAAAGGATATGTAACCTCTCATCCTGGTGTGCGAGTGCGTGATGTTGGAAGCGTCTTTTGGCTGGGAGCGCTGTTAGGAAGCCGGTAAGTAACGTGTTGTTTTCCATTCTGTCGGATACGTCGGAATGCGGTCGCAGTGTTCGAGACCAAGGACAACTTAACGTGATCATTTGTTTAGATCATGCGAAAAATTGTTCAGCTGAGATCGCAGACAAGAAATTGAAACCCCAGGAGTGGGTTTGAAAATTAGTTTTTCCGTCTAGTTAATTTTTCGCCTTACTCGCTGAATTATCGCGTGAAGGGTCCGGCTAAGACTGTACTTCGGTTACAATTGAAGTAATACTTCAAACACACCAAGCGAGAGGGAGCTGTTTAGGATGGTTTCATCCTGGACAGGCATCGCAAACCTGGGAGAATGTTTAAAGATATCATGTGAAGAGTCCTACAGCAAACTACCCACGTTTCAAAATTTTACAGTTTTGTAGACATCAAAGCAAAACAAAGTAGCTTTTATTCTTGGTTTTTCATAGTGCGACTGACCAGGACACTGTTACTACAATCCTAGCTGACCCTGTGAATTTGAAATTGATTGATTTGTGCCCTCTCACGGTCTCTTTTCTCTAAAAATGATGGTTTATGTTTGATTGGATCCGTAGTTCAAAGCCTGCTACAGTTGGTGGCTCGTATTGCTGAGGAGCTTGGATAAGGTAGAGACCTTTAAAATGGACCAACCGAAATGGTTGGTCGAGAGTAGGACGAAGACTGTGCAAATGAACTTGATGAGGATGCATATTGTATGCACCTCGCAACCGTTAACAAATAACAAAGCAGATAATTTCATCAATGGGTGAGAAACCTAACCAGCAAATCATTTTACGCATTTACTGATTAAGTCCATGTATGGTCGTGTAGATTTCTTCCATGACCACGGAAAGTCCAGCACATTTAACTCGTCCACATCAACCTATCCGTTACTGAGTGTTTGGTCTCTCTTTTGCATCGGCGAACTGGAGCAGATTAGTCGACAAAACTATTCTGTTTCTACTGCAATGGCTCTACATAGAACTAATACATTTGAGCCATTTTTATAGACTTTGACGTCACTCTACATCATGTTTTAACTACCCATGGTCTTACTATGATAGCCTGATGTTTGCCAAAAATACTGAACCGTAACCAGAACTTCACTCTGTCACTGAGTACAATCCCTCTGCTAAAAATTGTTCGATCTTACACATAACCGCCCAACCTATTTTTATTGGTTTCAGATAAATTTTTGTGTTGATACGTCATGGAAATAGGAAACTCTGTTACAATCCGATGAAAAATGAATGGGCGTCGAGGGTGAATTTACCTCGGTTTCAACCCTGTCCAACACGCACATAGTTAAGAACCGGAAATCTAGTGGACAGGTTAAAAACATGAGAACCATATATGGCTTTCATGACTACCAACCTTCGCGTACTCCGGTTTATTTTCTGTTTCTTACAGCTGGCTTATTAAGTATGCTTTTCCCCTTTAATTAGCATGTAGGTGTCAATGTATTTTCAGATTTTACCGGCATGAGGGGTTCATGAACTGGTAGGAGTTGGTCATTTTCCAAGGCTTTATTGATGGGAATCTACCCTATCAAATTGTTTCACCTTATGGTTGTCTATCTCATCACTTACTGGATGCGTAGGATGTTGACTTTCCGAAATGACTTTTCAGCAGTTAGCCAATAATAGAATGTTATACTTTATTATACTTTTGAAGTCCACTGAAACCCGGTAGATAGGCCGAATTAGGTTTAGTTCTTATGGCGATAAATCATCTGTGTTGTTCTATTCTTCGTAAGAAATAGAAGTCGCCATTTAACCTAAGTGACTATTTTACTGACCCATGAGCTCACCAGTCGAGCTGGACAAAGGCTAGGATGTTCGTCACCTGAACTAATTTTCTACTGCCCTACTCATACAACTGATGGTGATAGCCTAATGCGCACCGACGAAGTGCAATTATCACGGGTACCGAACCATTACTCTTAACTTAGAGGGGTACAAGTTTTCCGGTTGTTCATGCACCCACCCAACAGGTACCTCTCGAACGTACACCATACAAGAGCCAAACAATAGCTCACTGAACTCATCCATCCATTAAACCACTATGGTAAGACGTAATCGCTCCTCTGGTGGAACTGGATACACCCATGCCGTTCATTCAGTGATGGCCTGGCATCTGTTCCATGATTCGCCTTTCATGCCGAAACACCGTGAACCCGGTGACACATGCGGCGCGCAGCAGCCTATGCAACCGACTTAGCGTCCTGTATCCCGTGTTAACCTGAGGGACAAAGACCTGAGAGGACAGTTGTGCTGTCAGACCGATGAAAAATTGTATGGAGGCAACTAGACGGCTGTAACCCGCAGCGTACGAATGGGAAACCCAGTAGCCCACCCCATCCACGAGACGGGTATGAAGCATACGAAGGATTGGTTACTGTTGACTAACAATCAGTTAGACATGTACAATGGTTGTCGTGGGACGTCATCTCTACCACTATTATGAGTGTACCATTCCCAGGGTGTTAAGGTAGGCCTTTTACATATCTAGATGCTGGAAATATGAATAAAAGATAAACAGACACCGGTGACGCAGATTAGAGGCTTGGACTAGCGAATCACATAAGATCCCTGTAGCCCTGAGCGGTGGTAACCCTCTGAACGGCAGTGAGGTTGTCTGACAGTGTCTGACAGTCCACTCATTACTGGCCGAAGCGATTACCGAAACAGGGTAAGCATGATGTGCTGGTCTCGGTTTCAATTCACTATCTCTCAGATGGTTTGTCGTGGATTTGTAGGATAATTTGTCGCGGATAATTGTAGGTGGAACGTGGTTGCTTCTCAATTACGTGCAATCAAACATTATCTTGGATAGCGTTCAAAAATTTTACTCGGGCGGATAAATGTTCCTTATTGGACACCTGCTTTTGAATTCTGGAGCGTAATTTATACCTTCCTACAGTGAAATGTTTAAAGTTTGCCATATTCAGCCCCCTTTTAAGTGATTGCTGTGTACTTGGGGGCTACGTTTTGGAGGTGTGTGTATGCAAAACTTCGAAAACACTGTTAAGCCCGTTATCTTTGAGTCAAGAATGTTCTTCCACGGGGATAACTTTGTCTGATCGAATCTCTGAACTTCTCCCTCATGAAGAAACTTCAAAACGTTTCTTTATTCTCCGTTACTAGTGAGGGACCTTTAAATACTAGTGGCACTATCCTGGACGTCTACTTGATCGCGCCAGACAGACTGTTCCCGTGCTCCTACCGTCGAGAAGACACCTGGTTGGTTCAACATTTCGAGAGGAACTATTGAAATTCCTCCTATTGATACCATCTTCCTACCTTCGGATTCCCGGCTGCGCCGTTCAGCTAGCTTCCTTTCATATGAATATAATCGTGCAGTCACCTATCCAAACAAGGCTTTGAGAAAGGACTGGGCTCACAGTGTGGAACCGTAAAGAAAGATCCGAAGTTTTTGGATGAAGGAATCTGATTCAAATGGCTAAATCACACTATAAACTTCATAAATCTAGACGCCCGACGAAGGAATACTGTGAAGACCGCCACAAAATATTTAGTGTGGAGTTCATGTTTGTAGGGATCATGGTTGGATACTGTTAGGGCGTCCTGATCTGGACAGGAGGGCCATTGGGTTCCACGACCGGAACTTTTATCTCAAAAGTCTGACCTCATGACTGCGGTCTTTGGTGGGAAACGCCGGTGCATTACATGTTTTAAAAAGAACAAGTCACTAAACGTGTTCAAACCTCCAATCTGGAGGACCGGAAAACTGTGTTATTCAAACCTTCAACCACTGATCAACCCGATTTGAGAGACTGTGGATGCGGGACGGAAACCATTCCTACCCCAGTATGGCTCATCTGGCCACGGAGGCACACAAAACGTCAAATCGCGGTAAGGTACAATCTCTTTGCGATGGAGTTTACGTTTAGTAACCTCGACGAAAGACGTGGTTTACCGAATAAATGCTCGTTAGCTTGGGTGGCTCGACGACGCTCACTCCAGAGAACCATGTACCGATCTATCAACCAGGGTCCGTCATACAAGTGGGCTACGGTATAGAATAGAATAACTGGCCGTAGTGATGAAATGCGACTTAACAGGCAACCCGTTCACCTCACTAGGAATTTCACACGAATTAGCTATCTGGAGATGTCTGTTTGCCCTTGAAATGAATTATTGTGCCCCGCCTATCAGAATTTTGTGCTCATTGGGTAACTATGGGGCTGTTCCGCGCGATGTCAAGTCTGCTCGAGTGAGCACGAAAAATCTCCGAGGCGTGGCCGAAGGTATCGATCGCTGTCTGACTGAGTCGTAAGTTGCATTCTCCAAACTATTGTTGCACACAACCTACTATTATGCTCCGACTAGCTCAATTAGTGAGAGCAAGTACATTCATGCCTCGTGGGCGTCGATAGTGTTGTGAATATTTTGAAAACTTGCGTTTTAGGCGTGCTGCATACCATGAT